TCTGACCGATACAGATGTATCTGTAAACGGGAAGCACGCAAACTTCCCTTCTAATTTTTAAATTTCTGAGTTGTGATTGCCCACTCTAGATAACGGTTTTCAATGCGGCTTGTAAGGCGGTGGTGATAAATTTCATTGATAAGCGTATTATTCTCTCTCAAAATAGCAATCATTTTCGCTGTTTTTATAGTTGCGAATTTTCACTTAAACATACTTCACCTATGCCTCCCAAACATTCATTATTCACTAGTGTGAAAAAATATGTTTAAGTCTATCAAAAGGTGTTCCAAAAAACACTTCACTAAATAACAAGATGATGAAGTTGTGTAACATTCGTTTGTTTTTGATGTGGTTGTGTTCTCTGAGCTGGGTAGTTCAATTTGCGAAGCTTTCGTCACCCTACTAGATGACATCTTCAGCGCATACTTCAATTTGAAGTGGGCTTTTAGATTTCTCCACGAGTTTATTAAACATCTCTCCTGGTGACCTTGGACATGAATGGTTTTTTGAGAGCCCGAATAGCTCAGTGGTAACGTCTCTGACTGCAGCCCTCACTGGGTGACGAGGGTTCGAATCTCAGAAGGGACATGAGTTACTTCAAGGTTGCAGATACGCCTTGCTGATGAGTGCCAACTACCACGAAACCTAGGTTATCCAAGGCTTCGTGCTGATTGCTTCCAACCATCTAATATCATCAAAGGAAGTGATCTATTTCAAATTCCTTCCGTTGATACTGATTGCAGCTGGTTGTTGTTGTCAGTCGGTTATCTTCATCACCTCAGTCTTAACATACAAAAACAACCAATCACGTCCAAGGTCACCAGGAGAGATGTTTAATAAACTCGTGGAGAAATCTAAAAGCTCACTTCAAATTGAAGTATGCGCTGAAGATGTCATCTAGTAGGGTGATGAAGGCTTTGCAAATTAACTATCCAGCTCAAAGAACACAATCACATCAAAATCATCCACCTGAGCTACAAATCTTCTCCATCATAACATTCGTTTGTATTCGACAAATCAGCTGTTTTCACTGTTAAACTTCTACAGTTTTACAGATTTTTTTGTAAAGTAATAGCCCACTAAACAAAATTATCTAAATATGTACTTCAGAAAGAATAATGCAAGAATATTCATTGATTTATAGCCTTAAAACTTGAGGAGGAAGTTTGTGAATCAATAAATATTAAGATAGTTTGTTTCCGGACTTCATTGTGTACAAGAAAACATTTCCTGAGGCAGGTTAAATCACATCATCAAAACAGTATTTGGGAAAAAAAGATACTGTTTTTAATTTATGTAATCGAAGAAACATTTTCATACCATTCATCAAACTTTTCAGATTATTTCATCCTAGCCCTTGTGCAACAAACACTCTTTTCCGTTCTACTCGACTACCTGTCTTTCTTGACATATGCATCAACTATGCTTTTATGCAGTGACACTTTGATTAATTACAAAAAAGAACACAACTAGTGTTCATGATTTATTGCTTTTTTTTTAAGAAATAGTTTAATTTCTTTAAGAGTAGAAATTATTAATCTAAGTAATGCACTGGAAGGTTTTGGAAATTGTTTTGTAGTGTACTTTCAAAGCTAATTATTATCATCATTTTTGTTTTTACTGTGGATAGAAACTTACAGGATTATTGTGACATGGTACTGGCAAAAAGTGCTTTTAATTTGAAATTTATAAATTTTAACCAACTAGTTCTTAAAGCTCTTGTTTCTATTGTCAGACTTGTGCTTCGTGTAAAAAAAATGAAAGTTCGAACAAAGCGTGATAACTTGCTCTACTCCAAAAGTTATACTGAATTGATTATAATGTCTCACTTAACACAGTAAAGTTATTTAGTCGGGTCTGATCATGAGCTGATATCGGTTAGATAACCATTGGAAAACCACGGTTGTTTCGTCCTAGTTTTGGACTCTTTACAGTACGCACAGTACGCAGCTCAAACTTGAAACAAATACCTACAAACTGACTTTTGAAAATTAATCTGATGCCTATTATTGACTGGCTACAGCACAAAGTCTCCTGGAGTTCAAATGAGGGGTCGTAATCAGTGAGGTCCACTATTTGCCGCCTGAGGATGAATACTCGTCGATGACATTATCTGGTGGTCGAGCTAAAATCTCAAACTGATGGAATTTGAAATTCGCGGGAAACTGGATTGGGTCGCAGTGGATGAATGATCTACGAGCTTGTTTTGTAACTAGAAGGTACTGTGTTCGAGTACCGGTGTGCGCGCAATGCTGGTGAGTCTCAAACTAGGACGAAAAAGCTGTTCAGTACTTCCTGTTTCTCAGTGGCTCTCTAATTGATATCATTAGGTGGCCAAACTGGGGACCAATCAAGTCCCTACAAACTTACTCTTGAAAGTTAAGTAAACTGATTACTGAATTGTTTCAACTGAGAGTTAAGAAAGCTGATTAGTGAAAAAAGTAGTTGCTATTATCATCGAATCATGACGATCGAAGAACCTGAAAGTTTTGTATATATATATATATTCGATTTCTCGGACCTAAATATAAAAAGAAGAAACGATGGAACGGTTGAAAAGTCCATCTACAGAAAAGAAACCGGAACAGGAAAATACCTTCACTACAACAGCTTCTGCCCTATAAGCTATAAGCGGGTATTAGTAAAGACACTGTACGACAGGGCCAGGAAGGTAGAAGAAAGAAACAAGAAGAAGAGTTAGGCTTTGCTGAAAACGGCTATCCAAAAGGATTTATCCTAAAGTGTAACAAAGAAAGAGAGAAGTATCCAACAGTTGAAAAGAAGAAAGTATTCATTTGCCTCCCATACAAAGGAGAAGCAGTATCACAAAAGATTGAAAAGAGGATAAAAGGAGCAATAAACAGATGCCTCCCTGCAGCCAAGCTGGTGACACTATACAGCACTACATGCTCTATAAGCCAATCTAAACTGGATAAGTACTCTACTGATGTTACCTCCAACTGCATTGACAAATCTACATGCACCTACGGCAGCAAGTACATTGGAAGGACAGAAAGAAGGGCTTCTATCCGGTTTTCAGAGCATATTCTAACAAAACTTACGCTTAAAAGGAAGCAAATATTTACAAAGTGAAATTACCAGACACCTCGTGGACACGGACTATTTTGTCAAGATTTCCAAATCCTTCAAAATATTAAACATACAAAGGACAGCGAATCTACCACGATTTACTGCTGAAGCAATTGCAATCAAACGTTTCAGACCAAACTTATGCACACACAAAGAGAGTGTGGTCAATCTCCCACCACCTTGGTAACCGTACTACTTTCATTACACCGATTAGTCATACACACTAGTGAGCTCAGCTCACTTAGCAAGTTTTCAATTTGATGATTTTTAACCTTCTTGAGTTACCATGTTCACGTACAAGCTAACACTGTTTATTAGATTTTTCTGTTTTCTGTCTTCTCTAAACCCAACCCCTCCGTTTTTTCATAGTTTAATATCATATAAATTGATGGTAACTTAAACTAAAAATTGTAATACTTATTTTCCGGATGCATTCATCTTATAATGTTTTCTTTATCACCTTTCAAACAGTGAAGTATGAAATGTTGTCACTATTTATAACCATTGTAACTTCAGGTAGTTTGCAGTTAGCTGATGAGAACCTGTGAAATAGAATGATGATATCATTTTATACTGCGAGATCTGGTCTTTCTTTCTCCATCGAAATTTATCAAGCGAACCAAATGTATGAAATATGAATTTATTGCATAGACTGAAAGTAAATCCAGTATTACATTCTGCCAGGCTAACGTCTTAATTAGAATTTGTAACAGGTAACCATCTGCCATTTTCGACTATTGAGATTAGATATTTATGTAAATTTCAGTAATTCCTGACTTATTTTTGAGCTGGACAACCTTTCTATGCTAAATTCGAATTCTTAAGAAGTATGCACCCGATATTCTCCAAGAAAGCAAAATCAGGACCTTCAGATCACGAAGGCTTTCTCATTGTCAGGTCGGGAGTACATACTACCGAAGAATATTAAAAAACACCAAATAGCTGAATTCATTCGTCCAATTTATGCTCGCTATCATAACAGTAATACCTTTACAGCTGCATCACTTTCCAGGCAGATTGTTTTGAGAATATATAGACCTGGTGTTAAGAAAGAAATTGATCCTGAATATCCGTTGGGTGGCTTATGCCTGTAGAAGTAGTATTTATATATAAACAGTAAGGCGGAGAAAACTAATCACTTTTCAATGGGCAAACAAAAATACGCAAGTATGATGGAAAACTAAATTAACAGTTTGTAAGCCAACAAAGCCAATGTTGAATTTTGGTTGAAATTGTGTCCTGTGAATCTAATGGTTTAACAATAGAGATTTCGCTTTTAGTAATAATCACTTTATTACAAATATGTCAAATCGAGAATCGTAAATGCGAGAAACACATTCATCAACCTGAAACCAATCTGGAAATCTTCGTCACTCAGCATCAACAACAAAATTCGGATTTTCAATACAAACGTCAAGTCAGTTCTTCTATATGTACGGATCAGAAACTTGGCCAGTGTGTAACAAAGAATATTTTCAACAGGTTGCAGACCTTTATCAACAAGTGTCTTCGTTCTATACTGAAGATCAGATGGCCGGAAAGGATCACCAACAATAAACTATGGGAACAAACAAAGCAAGAACCGATCGCCCATCAAATATGCAGGAGAAAGTGGAGGTGGACGGGACACTCCCTGAGGAGGCCGCTGGGTGACATCGTGCCTCAGGCCATAGCTCGAGTGGAACCCGAAAGGGAAGAGGTGAGTGGGGCGTCCAAGGGTGACATGGAGGAGATCGTGTGAAGAGGAGTTGAAACAGTATGGACTAACATGGATGCAGGTGAAAAGTACGGCAGAAGACAGAAGCAAGTGGAGGCGTGCAGTTGAAGCCCTACGTTCCACTAGGAACCCAAGGGAACAATAATAATAATAAATAATACAAATATTCTAAATAATTTCAACATTGAATTACCTGATATTGCGAATCCACTGAATCCAACGGCCAACACAAGACATACTAACGCTGAGGTAATAGTTTTTGAATAACCGACACCAATGAGGAAAATCGCTTCAAGTCCAAAGCCTATAAATAAAAAAACGGTAAAAATGTAATCTTCTGCATCAATAAAAATAAAAAAGCGAAAATTTCTGTGGCATATTGAATAGAGCTGAAATAAGGTTTACCAATAAATATAGTCAAATAATGCATTCATTTGACAAGTAAGCCAACTCCGTCTCAAAACTTAGGCTTTCACAGTCTAGGAATATGTATCAAAATGGTACCCGGTACACAGTATTTGACTTCTTGTTAACTAATCAAGCTTTTTATCACTTTAGAGAGATTATAATTGATTGCCCGGGAATGATATAGTTTCATTTGACTGAAGATGCCTATTAAACATTAAAAAAAACTGATTCATGAACCAAGAATAGTGGTTGGACCTGTTTCTTTTGAACTCAGAGCTCCGGTTATTTTAGGCGAATTGTATTGGCCTCTGCTTTTTGAAATGTTCGGCAGCGAGATATCTTCAGTAATTTATTCGATACTCGACAGATGGATATAGAAAGACTCTTCAATAATAGCTTTGGGACCTGTTTGGAAGAGGTGATCTAACATAGAACCGGAAGGTACTAGGTCGGAACCCCGGCAGGTGCATATTGATGAAGAGTCCCAACTTTAGACAGAATAGCTCTCCAGTACTTTCAGGGTTTTCCAATGCTTCTCTAACCGATGTCAGCTCATGATGTAGTCCTGCAACCAGTCAAATCTCCGCAAACCAACACTTGGATAATATAGACCTGTTGATAGTTTTACAGCGCGTTTATTTAACCACACTGGCATATGTTCCCGAGCACGAAAAACTAAGTTCCTAGAGCAATGGACAATACAATTGGTTTCACAGGAGCAGTTGAATTGATGTATACGATTAGAGGTGGATAGCCTGGTTACTTCATCCTTCAGTTTTGGAGTCACAGCTGGTTGTGCGGAAAATATAAACTGTAGCTTACCGACATTAAGCGTTCTTCGATCCACTTTTCTCAACTTGTAAGTTATTATTTCACTTGGTATATCACCTTTGAATTGTAGTCGTATATATGTGTAGAGGCATTTCGTTAACACACATACGGGGGAACTCTTTTCTACTTTTTTGGCCATTTGTCTAGTGATGAACTTTTCAGGGTAATTGCTTTAAATTAAAGTGTCGTATACAACCTTAGGTCAATCAAAATAATTTTGCATGGGGGATTTCATCATGAGCTGACATCAGTTACAGAACCACTGAAAAACCTGGGAGTACTGGACAGCTGTTTCGTCCTAGTTTGGGACTTTACAGCAGTAAGCATTCACTGGGGTTCGAACGCAGGACCTTCTGGTTACAAGGCAAGCTCGTATGCCATTGAGCCACTGAGACCCGATCCAATGGTCCTGAAGAGTCCCAAACTAGGACGAAACAGCTGTCCAGTACTCCCAGGTTTTTCATTGGTTCTGTAACTGATGTCAGCTAATGATTAAATCCTCCATGCAATCAAACAAAATCCCTACAAAACCAATACTTCAAAATAATTTTATCTGCAACTGCTTTGTTAAAATGTTTCATGGCGGAGATAAAAACACATTAACAGTTCCGCTTAGTTTCATTTGACAGCCTGTCAAAAAACTATCTCGTGATTGTGCTTAGAAGATAAGTATGCCTTTTCTATTCAACAATGAATAATTTCTATGTAAGGAGGCCTTTTAGCTACCGTAAATACTTAACATTTATACCTGTAAAAAGCTGATTAAGCTTTACCATTTATTCGTACAATTATCGTCTAATATTTCTTATGGATCGAAATGTACATGAAAATGAAATAACGCAAATAATTCTCGAAGAAAACTGATATCTTTTTAGTTGTAGATAAAGAATATTACACTTAGTCAATGACTTTATTGGTGACTGATCCACAGTTGTGTGTGATGTAACATTTTTTAGATTGACTGTGCCCGTAATGTTACATGAAAGGGACAGTTAAATTCTGACTTAAGTAGTCTACCATTCACACGCGAATTAATCACTGTGTTATGTAACACTAGTTTCGTTACATTGATTAGTCACTCATTTTTGAGCGTATTTACTCCTTACTGTCACTGACTCAGCCTGATTAAATGATTAAAAAGGACTTGAGGTTTTTAAATTTTGTTAATAAGGAAGTTGAGGATTTAGTTTCTGTATTTGGAACTTTCAGTTATTGGTTAGATAGTGACTTTCATATCTTGCATTTAGGTTCTTTTTGTATTTTCTGTTGATTAATTTTTATCCTACCGAAGTCCTCGGAGTCCATTGATATGAGAGATTCTAGTACAGACTCTTCGACAATGTCTAAAGTTTAACACGATGTTATTTGGTATAGCTTATAGAAATAACAATTCATCCCTATTGCAAAAGAGGTGGCCCTTATGGCTCAGAGGTTTAGTGAATACCACTTTGATGTCTAAATCGGTAGGTGCTTGGTCTGAGTCTCAGTGAAAACAACATCATTGGGGTTCAGAAACAGGACCTTCCAGTTACAAGGCAAACTCGTAGACCATTAAGCCACTGGGACCCGACACAATAGCCAGCCCATGTATTCTAACTTTTACCAATTTGTGATTTTAGTGTGACTACTTGCCAAGGTCATCGGAGAGCATTTGTCCTCAATCTTCAAAAATTAATTTGATGCTCGCTAGTGACTGGCTTCAGGATGAAGTTCCCTGGAGTTCTAGTCAGAAGTCGTGATCAGTGGGGTCCATCCTGTCAGGGGTGAGGGCAAATACTCGCCAATAATATTGACTGGTAGTTGCGCCAAAATCACGAATTGATAGAAGTCAGAATACATCGGTTGGCTATTGAGTCGGGTCCCAGTGGCTGAACGGTCTACGAGCTTATCATGTCACCGAAAGGTCCTGGGCTCGAACTCAGGTGGATGTATACTGTCGATGAGTCCCAGACTAGGACGAAATGACTGTCCGATACTGCCTGGTTTTCAGTGGTTCTTTAACTGCTATCAATCCGTGGTCAAACTTAAAAAAAACAGTATTAACTATTTACTCATATAACTCTCAACAAAAATGAGTTTACTTGAAATGTCATCGGTAAAACAAATGCGTCATATCAAATAAGTTAACATAATAATTATTTAAAATATTTGTTTTGAACGTGATTCAAGGTGTTGTTAATTAATCTTGTCGGCAGCCTGCTTAAAACTTGGGCCACTAAAATCCTCTATCATTATACTGCATATAATTTCACTTGTTCCACTTTGTTTTAATCTATAAAAATACGACGTCTAATAGTATTATTCACTCTTGCGAGTGTTTGAAATGTTTACAACCAGATGTTTCACAAGTCTCTACTAAACCTGATAACAGGTACAATTGTGGGTGGTAACGTATACCAACCAATACACGAGATAACTATTACCATGTTATGTCCTTAAGTCTCAAATCGTACTCCTGAATATTTTCTAACTGGCTGTGCATTTCTCGAAGAAGACAAAAAAGAAGTATCAAAATGGATTGATTGGCCCTTCAGGTCAGAAGACATTGTATCACACGATTTATTGTCACTTAATATTTTATTTGAAGACCCTGGGCGAATAGAAGCATAATGCAATAAACTCCCTTGAAAATGATATAAAGCTACTATTATTGTTTAATTGGTGGATGGTGACTAGCAGTGGAATCCAGGATGCGCATTTCGTCCTGTTTGGGACTCATCAAATGGATGTACCTGCATTCCGCAGTGAATGATGATGTCCCCACCAAGGCTCGAACCCAGTGCCTATAGTTTCAAACACCAAAGCGTTATCCACTAGACCACTTAGGCCACTAGTCCCACCTCTTGTGCAACGGGTCATATTAATCATTTAATTGAATTTTAGATTCTCCCGTCGATTGATTGAACCGAAGTGCTCTGTGTCAGGTTGACATGTCGGCTTCTTGTGCAGATTCATCATCCACCAATTAACCTATAAATACATGCCCAGACATCGTCGAAGCATCTGCACAAGAAGTCGACATGTCAACCTGAGACAGAGCACTTCGGTCCAATCAATCGACGGGAAAATCTAAAATTCAATGAAATTATCATTATTGTTATTCTTTATCTTTTATAAGTCTGTCTCCCTGGGAAATAATAAGTTTTAGAACTACTGGAATACATCTAGTGCGTTGGTGGCACAACGGTAGGATGCTCACCAACCACGCATGTGGTTCGGGGTTCAACCCCCGGCTGACGCACTCCTTTACCTCGCTAAACCAGTAATAAGTCTGGTGCAAAGGGAAGGTTGATTATAAGGCTAGCAACCCAATCCCGTAAAAATAGACACCACTTCTACCTTAACTTCAAGCCTCTAGCTTGAAGCCCTGTGTTTTACTCGGAACGTAAAGGAATACAAGAAAAGAATACATCTAAGTAGATTTTTATAGAACTAATGAAAGCCGCCTTCAAATTTGTAAAGAAATATTATTCTTAAATAAACAACATTAACTGCCAATCACATTGAACACTTTGAAAATGAACCTAAAAGGGCTAAAGTATTTTTTAAATGTTTATTTATCTCACAGAATAGTTCATTTAATCGCTTCTTATAATATATAAATGAATTTTACATCAATGACCTATTTACCTATTCTTCTGTAGGTGATTTGTTTTTAATTAATTTTTTTTTCTCTAGACAATAGCGCCAATTTGAAAAATGGATATTATTCCTTTTTTGTTAATAGGTCATCGTTGTTATACAAACACTCCAGTAAGTGATTAATTCAGTTCAAAACTTTCAGCTAGTCTCTTATGTTTTGTTTCAATGATACTGATACTTCCTACCTAGTCAATAATATCCTAGTGAATTGAGTATCAGCTAGCGATTTCATTGTCCATATCTACACAACAGATCATATCTCTTCTATCCTTCAGCTATGAGACTTTAATCTATTCCTAATTTTTTTACTAATGCAAGCAACGCTACATTATTCTCCTCTCCAGTGATTCTAAGCTATTATGTTTGTTCAATGCATCAAATAGTAGTGACCTAGTGTTATTTATTTATTGATTGTAATCACCCAAACCAAGCTTCGAAACCGCTGCAGAAATAAGCAAGTATAACTGACTGAATAATGTCACTACTCAACGTGATGAGTCTTATGTAAACTCTAAGTTCAGGCTCCACTTCAGCAATTTCGCCATCACATCGTTTTGCTGGATAACTGCGGCTTCGGTAGTTAGAAATAGTCGCAGGAGGAGAAAAATCCCAACTGGTTCGAAATCCAAGCGTCATATGGCATTCAGATGGAGCTTACCACCATCCCATCTTCTTAATACAGCGTCTTCATTGTCGTTTTTATATTTATACAATCAGTTATTTGCAAAAATGGCTACACACTTAGATCATAAGATTGCTTCAGGTTGTACAAATTTGCTAATTGGTTTTTACCTGTTGGTGAGATACCTGTTGCACAAGGTTCTGCTGCCATAATACCTTACTTCCCGGCATCTCGGATATCTACTACTTTCAGCAGTGATCCTTGTTTCTCCAGCACCACCAGAACAAGAATATATCACTTAATCCATCATCTTCAACAGCGTATGATTGTTATTCAAGAGCTGATCCACTATCAGCTGAAGCTGAAGTGATTTATGTGGCCCCCTTAGGCTGTTTGCATTGTTCCCTACATGCTTTGCTAGCATTCTTGGTGTTTCCTCTGTCTAATATTTGAACGTTGTCCCAGTCGAGTTGATTTCCGTGGTTGTCTGTACGTAGCGATACGAGAGAGAGGATGTCATATGTTTGGATGGCTAGCTTATATTCATGGATACGACGACGAATGGGACGTCCACTTTGGTCAGTGTATTGTTTTTCGCACTTATTACAATTTATTTTGTAGAGGATGTTGGTTTTATCTTCTTTCGTCGTTGAGTTTTTTGGTTGACATAGAGCCAGCTGAGTGAAGTGATTTTGTTGGTTTGTGTGCGACGCCGATTCCCAAAGGTTTGAAGAGTCTTGCAGTGATTACTGAGATATTCTCTATGTATGGTAGGGCGATTTTCTTTGTGTTTTTCTTAGGGATCTTTGATTTAGTAGGTTGGTTTGGGGGTATATGTCTTTTGATGAAATTCCTTGGATATCGATTCTTTTGGAAGACGTCCATGAGATATCTTCAATTTTCCTTAAGGTTGGAGTGTTGCGATGAGTCCTGAACCCCTTGAATAAATTTTCAAATCTAGTCATTCGTTAGTATAAAATCTTCATTTGCATTAAAGTTTTTTCCTAACTTCAAGTTTCTTATTTTTTATCGGTCAGTGATTTAATCTGATAACTGATGGATCTATACAGTTAATAAGCTACTCTACAGTTGTGTCTTTCCACTTAAGACTCATTAGGGCAATATGTTTACTATCACAATTGCAAGTTCCTTTAGTGGGAAAGACTGACATAAATCTATTTCCAGTGGATAACACTACTAGTGAGTAATGTAGACAAGACCACTGATCTAACCGATTGTAAAGTGCAAGCTAAATCATCCTAGAGTGGATTTTCTTCTTCGTATTTTCTGCATGAACGTTAAATTAAAGATCGTTCAACATGGTTTATTATCTATGCTATTGTTTAAACGAAAATAATCAGCAAGAATCTTAGAGAACTTTGATTTATTTAGGCTTAAAACGAGAATTATCTCAGTTGCCTCTCAACAGGTGACTACAAATGAAGACATTGTTAAGTTCTTCGACCTTTCATGTGGAACCATTTTTTATTTCAGTGGCTGAGGCAAAATAATCTAGATGAACGGCGAATACAAACCAGCCTCTTACATTGTTGGTCTTCAAAGTCACTTTACCGAATTCATTTTAAATTCTTGTCAGAGTGGTTTTCGACAATTGAGATGTGAGATCATCTGTATGCGATAGATCGACTGGCCAATATGACTGCCAAGCTGCTCAATGAAAGAAGTCTTTCTAAGCCTTAAACTCTAGGACATGGAGGGTAAAAGTAATTTCATGCGTTCTTCAGTGTGTCTGATATTTAAGCTGGATAACAGTTTCTCAGCAAAAAAATCGTGGCTACTCTTATTTCCCACTATATGAACTGTATTTCTGTTGAATGGCTTTTGCATACACTGAGCATAAATCAAAAGAAGTTAGAGCAAATTTGACTGAAGAAATGCTACTGAAATACACAAACTGCTTACCTCCACAGTTAAATATTTTCCTTACAGCTGTAGTTGAAAGCGTATTCTTTCTCAACTTGTCCGCCAACTGACCACCAATCGGAACAATAACAGCCATAACTAAATGTGGTAATGCTGATAAGAATCCAGTCTAAATGAGAGGGAAAATGCAATATACATATGTATATAGGGCTGTCAAATGTTCAGTACTGAAATTCAAAATATCTCCACTAAAACTTTATTCCAATGATGTGCTCATTGAAACAGATCTTCTATAAGAGTTCAACAGAATGACCATCTGTACATCCGGCACCAATTCTAGTGGAGCCAAAGAAGTGTGATTTGTTACATACATTCTGCTCAGAAACTACGTGTGATCTGTTAAAATCACTACAGTTATTGTTCCATTTAAAAGTAGTGTAAAATGACTCGACGCAACTGTAACTATCACCTCAAAGAACACTGAAGTTCTTCATGAAATAATGGTAATTAGAGGTTTATTAAATTTAAAAAAGTTATCTTCAACATCTTTTGTCACTCACAGTAAGCGCTATTATTAAAAATTCTGAGAAACATTTCAGCAGTATCCTTTTGCTCGCTAGATTCCTTTGAAGAAGCGACATCGTTTAGAGGAACATTGAAGAAACAGTGGATAGTGGACAGCTGTTTCATCCTAGTTTGCAAATCTTCAGCAGTAGGCACTAATAACCCCTCCAGCTATTGATCTCGTTACCGTCAGATTACGAAACGAGGACATTATCATTCAGTCACTATAATGCAATGTAATGTTTCGCGACTTCCAGCTTCTATCAATTTGTCTTGCAAAACGCTACCGTCATCTAATGCCATGGGCGAATATCTATCCTCACAGTCAGAAAAGTGGGTGGAATTCCATCCAGTAGTCAGTCGACCAAATTACTTTTAAACAACATTTGAAAATTCCCTTGCAATTCTTTTGAATTAGTTAGTAATTACTGCGTATTGTATTCCTTGTATAACTGGAATATTTTGATTTGACACTAATAAATAGTGTGATGTATCTAGTCCTCTGTTTGGTGCCGACTGAATTCTATCAGTCAGGTTTGCAATGTGGCCACCATTCAAGGTAGCTCGCCATCATAGTGCACATTAATTTGATGAAGGAAGCGTTGCTTCACTTAGGTTTTGTGCTAGTTGGCACTGGTCAGTAAGGGAAATGAGTTCCTTCGAGGTCGCAGATATGCCTTGCTGACTGGTGAGTGCCAACTAGCACGAAACCGAGGTGAAGCAAGGCTTCCTGTGGCCGATTGCCTCCAACCGCCTAATTTAACTGAAATATATTTAAACACCTGTCATTTAACTCCTTCATTGAATAACTTTAAGTCAAGTGAGTTTATGAGACAGATACTAATTAGTAGTCATTTCCTACATCACCTCTACTATCCTCAACATACTGAAGTAATTTATATCCGCTTTACTTATTCCATATAAAATGAATAGTGTAAAATTGTATTCAATGTGAGGAACTCCTATTAAGTGGTGAAAACTGGCTGTAAGTGTGATTTTCATCAAAAGACTTCTCCCTCAGTCGGTAGATGTTTATCTATTCATTTCATGAACCAAAAATAAATCAGACAATATGGTACCAACCATTTCATATGATCATTTTATTTTAAAATTCTACAGTAATGTAGTTGTACGCAAAATTGAAGCGTTACAACATCTGAAACAGAAGTGTAGGCAAGTTTTATTGAGCGATATTAATGTCTTGTTTGTTAAATACCACACTGTCAGGGTAGAATTATACCATCAAACTATTTACACACTGAGTGCACACACACTGTTTCAGTCACACCTATAGAAGATAGATATTTCAGCTTGACATTTAAAATACAACAATTCGCTTACTTCTGCAAGATTATAACCAAACACTTCACGAAAGTATTTTGGTGATTTAGTGATCAATAGGTAGAATGACCAACTTCTTGCAAAATTTGCAATAATTATAGCATACACAGGAAGTGATGTGAAGAATTTTCCCCATGGAATAGGTATTTTCTGAAGACAAAGAAAAACAAATGAATAATTAATTAATTAGTTAGTTAGTTATTTAATTACATTTTTCCACATAAATATTGATTAAATCCCTCCAATTCTGAGGCATTAAAGACAGGCTATTTTGATTGAATACTGAGAATTACAGCTGTAGTCAAAAGTTTAAATTATAAAACGCTGAGATTGTTTATTAATAGGCTTTTCTTAGGAAAAAATCAACCTCAGTGAAGGTGTACAAAACACTCTACCATAATTATTGGTTGTATGCCACATATGACAAATTTCCTTTAGCAATCTTTGCGGTACAGTCAATAAACAAGTTGGCTTTACATTTCTAGATATCGAATTCAGTAATAACTAGTTGAAAATAATCAGTAGAATGTCCTGACTTTATATTTTGAGTTCCACAAAATCAATTACTTTGTGACGAATATCTTACAATTGAAATTAGTCCGAAATCCCAACAAATCCTATAATCTGAGTATCAATCGTTAGCTCGCTGATAGCTAATGGATGGATGTCCTGAGGATTTTGAAAAAATCTGGACATCGGCTATATATTATTCATTAGCAATAAAAGCTTTCGTGTTTCCCAATGAATGAAAAAAGAAACGCTACTAATTTTTGCTGATCTTTTGCTATTTAACACTAAGAGATTTATCAAGGTATTATTAAACCAGAATTTACATAAACTCAGCTTATATACAGTAACTTAATCACAGTGCTTCATTATGAATTGAAGATAACAAAAACATGTGTTGATTCTCATGAGTTGAAATGCAGGGATTCGATTTGTTTTAAGTTTGATCATGGATTGATATTACAGGATTTCATCATGAGCTGACATGAGCTGACCTACCAGGTAGGTAGTTACCTGGGCTTCCAGTGGGAAGTCGTGACCAGTAGGATGCAGCAGGTCGGGTGTGAGGACAAATACTCGCCGAAGACATTGGCTAGCGGTTGCGTTATGTCGTGAATTGGCAGAATTTAGAATTCACGGACCATTGGATGGCCTACGAGCTCGCTAGCCTTGTAACCAGAAGTTCCTGGGTTCGAACCCCGGTGCTGTGTGCTTGCTGCTGCAGAGTCCCAAACCAGGACGAAACAGTTGGTGGTCCAGTACTCCCTATAGGTTTTCCAATGGTTCTCTAACCAATGTCAGCTCATGATGAAATCTTGTAACCAATCAACCAAATCCCTACAAACCAATACATGGATTGGTATTAGTTGGAGAACCATTGAAAACCAGTGGGAAGTAGTAGACAGCTGTTTTGTCCTAGTTTCGGGCTCGTCAGCAGCACACACACTGTGTTTCCGATCACGGACCTTCCAGTTACAGGGTAATTTCGTAGACCGTTCAGCCAGTGGGACCACACTCAGTGGCCAGACCGTGTATTCTGACTTCTACTAATCCGTTATTCTAGTGTGACCACCAGCCAGTGTAATCGGCGAGTATTTATCCTGAATCAAGAGTGTGTTGGCCACACTAAGATGCAATAGCTGTTCAACACTTTCTGGTTTTCATTGGTTCTCTAACTGATATCGACCCGAGATTAAACTTGAAATATTTGTAGATTGTTGGATTTGGTAAGCGAATGAAATTGTAAAACCAGGATGTGTTTACATATGAAATTACTCACCACATTGGTGTAGATTTCGTCACTTCATGTTGGGGGGTGAGGTGGTGGTGTTGGGACCAGGTCAAATTCCATCTTAATCCATCATTCCTATTCAGACAATTTGGATTCCATTTGGTATGAAGAGCTTCTGATACGATAAGTTCTTTGTTATTTGTGAAATTTTTCTGAATGACTTCAATAGTCTCAAAATCAGTTTCCAGCCCTGATTCTGTAGCATGTGAACTTATGGCTTACGATTCCTCAAGCTTTCCTAGTTCGACTGGATTTCTCAGTGGTTACTGTATATAAGCTAAGATTTCATAAATTCTGGTTTAATAGTACCTTGATAAATCAATCAGTACTAAGCAGCGAAAGCTCAGCTGAAAATTTCGCTTTTCCATCATTGGGAAATACAAAAACTTCTATAATAATTTCTGCTAAACTTAATGAAAACATCTTCAGGTGAAGTTTACTTGTGACATAAATTTTAAATGTAACTGAAGCCTCAAGTAATCACTTTTCTACAGTTTATGTATGGAACCTTTAAACCTGGAAGTAGATTGCCAGCATGCCTACAAAAACACACCGACTACACCTTCGAAAGAGGCTGCTTATTCGGTAACGAGGCAGGTTAATATCCCACTGGGTAAGTTGGAAGTTCAAATAATGCATGGTATTTACATGATTTAATAAAAACTTAAAAATAACCACATCAGGAATACTGTGTGTTTTCTTTTCTACAGAATAATCAGTTAAACTGTGATCGATAATAAAACTTACACTTTCAATGATAGTTGTTGACTCTCCAATTGACGACTCGATGTATTTTCTTTCAGCTTCCGATATTGTTGGATGAAGTGAAGGTCTTTCATGCGTGACATTCCACCACCAGAAGAACCACATTATCCCAACAACACCTAGTAAATAATTAAAGCATTAATACGACAGTTATACTCAAACAGACATTAAACTACTTATCTGTGAATTAATGTCTTGTTAGGGTTCGAGTATCTTCAACATATATATGTATATATCCTACATTGATCGAAATGCGTCAGTATAGTGTGGTCAACAAAGTAAATGACACGACTGTGACGTACACACGAAGCTCTAGATCACCGTATGCATTACAATCTGGCTACCATTTGGAATACCAAAGCCAACCAGTTATCAGTTATAAAGTATCTGACTTAAACACCGAGTTACACAGATTTTAGTTTCTTATTGAACATACATTTCTCTACAGTTTCAGTTACTCCATATGTTAACAAAAGTAAGGCTTCTAAAAAGCTGGTGGATGGCGACTAGTAGTGAAATTCAGGATGCTCGCTTCATCCTTTTTGAGGCTCGTCATTTGGATGTACCTGTATTCTCCAATAAGTGGTGGTCTTCCCACTGAGGCTCAAACCCAGTACCCATAGCTTCAAACTCCAACGCGTTATCCACCAGACCACTTGAATCACCTCTTCTGTAGCGGGCGTTAGTAATTATTTAATTTAATTTGGACTTTCCCGCTGCACAAGAGGTGGCTATCCTGGCTTAAGTGGTCAAGTGAATAGCGCTTTTCCGTTTGAAACTATGGGTGCTGGGTTCAAGCCTCAGTGGGAACGCCATCACCCATTGGAAAATGCAGGTACATCCAGATGACGGCCCTCAAATAGGACGAAGTGTGCATCCTGGATACCACCACCAGTCACTGTCCACCAATTTACTCCAAGTTAAATAATCAAAGGTCGTCGAAGCATCTGCACAAATTTCCAAGAAGGTATTTCATGCCAGAGACTACCTATTTTGCATTCTTACAGGAAAACATGTGGGTTAAGTTACCTTAGACAGATGTCATCACTGCAGGTTTAGACGATATATGAACTATTTGATTTCATCGTGATTTGACATCGGTTAGAGAACCGTTGGGAAACCTGAGAGTACTTGATAGCTGCTTCACCCTAGTTTGGGGCTCTTAATCAGGACGCACCCACCACAATTGTTTCGGGTCCTAGTTGCCTACAGGTCTGTGAGCTAACCTTGTAACCCCGGTGGGTGCATACTGTGAACAGTCCGGAACTAAGACGAAGCAGTTGTCCAACACTCCCAGGTTTTCCATTGGTTCTCTAACTGATGTCAGTTCGTGATGAAGTCCTGTAACCAATCAAATCACTGCAAACCAACACTTGAGTATAAGAACTATATTAATTAAAAACCGACAAAATTGCTTAAGCATTAGAAGAAACCGCCAAGTACTGGAATAAATAATGAATAATGAGGTAGTCATAGGTATTTTAGGGGAGACAAAATCCTTATACGTCCTTCAGTTAACCGGGGATACATTTCTGAGGAAGCAGACTAGACCACGTCGATTGCTCAAACTCTGAACAAGTTTTAGGCATCAAGATCACGGGTGTATCATACAATGCTTTGTGTACTTTCCTAATATATCCAGTTCTCATATTTTTATTTTATTCACGCTTTTTATAGGGTTTAAATCTGCAAGTTTAACGTACTGATGAATGCATTTAACAGTTCAGAAGGTTGATGTGTAGAATCAGTGACTATGGAATGGTTCTGACTGACTCTGCACTCATCACCTGAATTCCTTTTCTTCAAATTGCTTTATTTGCAATTATACAGAATCTTGAAGTTAATGCATTTTAATATTCAGATAAGTTATTTGGTCAAAGAAATAAATATAGAAAACTAATTCATTCCCTATTTGAAAAGATACAGCAACTGGTTATTAAAAATTCTTGAAATGACATAACTTGTTTATGTAATAAACTTCTGAGCTGTATTGCACGGCACCCAAATTGCAACTTCATAAATGAAATTGTTAAGTCACAGTAACGTAAGTTGCCTCAAGTCTTTATTGACCTCATTCAACAGCAATATGACAATGCTACGTGTCAGGTGATCCACAATGGAAAACTCAGCGAGGTGATCGAAGTGAATCCAGGGACAAGACAAGGCTGTGTGCCTATTATCTATCACCAGTGATGTTTCAAATTGTGGTGGACTTGATTATGCGTCAGACTGTGCATTGGGAGTAGGAAGACAGGGATACACTGGATCACCGATAAAAAGACTCTCGAAGATCTTGATTTCGCAGATGATTTATTTTCAATGTGACACGAACTCGAAGATTTGCAGGTGACAATCAACAAACTGGCCAAAGAATCAGCGAAGACAGTACTTCAAGTGAACATAGAGAAGACGGAGGTGATGAAGATAACTAGCACCAATCACTATCAATGAGAGAGATTTAACAGATGTCACTTCCTTCACCTATCTAGGAAGCATCGTTTCAACTACAGACGGAACGGATGAAGATTTCAAAGCCAGAATGCAAGAGGCAAAGTACGCCTTCATCAACCTGAAACCAATTTGAAAATCTTCTGCATACAGCCAGCATAAACTACAAGATTCGGATTTTCAACATACGTATGTAGTCAGTCAGTTCTTCAATACGGGTCAGAAACTTGCACTGCGTGTCACGAAAAGGATTTCCAACAGGCCATTGCAGAATTTCATCAACACTAGTCTTTGCTGGCTCCTTATTGAAGATCAAATGGCTGGCTAGAAAGAATTATTAATAATAAACTCTGGGAACAAACCAACGAAGAGCCGATCGCTCCACAAATATGTTGGAGGAAATGCAAACGTTGAGGAGACCATCGAATGACATCGCGCGCAATACAGACCATCGCTCGAGTGGAATCCTAATGGGGAAGTGACAAGTGGGTTAACAGTGAGAGTCCGACATGGAGGAGATCGTGGGTCGAGAAGTAAATGAGAGATTATGGTCAATCGTGGACCCAGATGAAAAGGACGGCAGGAAATAGAGCAAAATGGAGGTGTGTTTTCGAAGCCCTATGTTCCACTTGTAACGCAAGGGAATAATAATGATAATGTAAGGTGCACTAAGTTGTAGCCTAATAAATCTATGTAGTCCTATCAGAAAGAAATTGTTCATGTATTTTTATTTCATATTTAGTGAAATCCTCTGATTGAAATAAAGTAGCTAGTATTTTTCAATCATTTACTTATTCAAACAATGACAATATGTTTTTACGCGGGTTATTCCAACTGAATCAATTTCATAAGATGAGCTTTTTGTAAGCCCTCAGGGTTACATACTTATAAATCATAGTGATTCTTCATAAAGTCTTTGTTCAGCTGTACAAACATTATTACAAAAAAGAAATACAGATAAATTAATTCTATTTATTTATTTATTTAAAAATAGAGCATGTTTATTGTTGATAAAAATGGGAGTGATATTGATTACTCATTTGAATTGCCCAGGTTACCTTGTCGTTAGACTGGATTTATTCAGTTTATTAAAACAAATTTATTTTTTGATACTAAAAAATTTAAAATCATTTTATTAACAAATTTGCTTATATATAATCGGGTAACGAAAATAAATGAACAGTAATTATTGGAGAGGCAGGAGATATCAGTATAACCAGTCTTAACTGGTTCACAAATGTCAGAACCTTTCAATCGAATCGGAAATAACCTGTTCATTGTTGATTCCGCTTTATGGTAAAGAAAATTGTAGTGTACTGGAAATATACTCATAAACCGTATTAGCAGTGGCAGATAATAAACTGTAGCTTGGTAAATTTATATATATATATATTAGATTGGGGAAATATTGCCTTGCTCCAAGTAAGTCGTCAGCATTACTAAAAACGATCTCAAAACCACTATTTTATTATTACATTGGATTCCGAGTGAAACATAGGGCTTCAGCAACACATCTTCACTTTGCTGTCTTCTCCGTTGTCTCCTTCATATGGGTTCACAACTGCCCACAATTTCTCGTCTCCTCCTCACACGATCTCCTCCATGTCAGCCTCTCACTGACAACCCACTCGTCCCTTCCCCATTTGGATTCCACTCGAGCTATGGCCTAAAGAGCAATGTCATTCGATGGCCTCAGCATAGTATGCCAAATCTATCTCCATTTTTTCCAACATATCTGTTAAGTGATCGGGTCTTGGCTGGTCTGTCTCACTGCATTTCTTGTTTCTAATTCTTTCTGACCAGCCATTCGATCTTCATAAGAGGATCATAATGGAACATTATTCTGGCTCTAGATGCCATCCTGATTGTTAGTGAACAAGCTTATAGACGTGACAGACGTTTGGTGATTGCTTAAGACTGAAATTTAGGCATGTAACCCAAGGTAAGGTGTCCGGAATTCTATTAATATCAGTTGTTGTTTTTTTCTGTCGTATTTGCATGCATATATTACATTGGTTGAATAACACGAAAAACTGTGGCAAAAATATTTACACTAAACTTATTTATATTAGCTTACCATAGAAGTAGAACGGTGACTGCCAACCCATTTGTTGAGCTAAGAGACCAGACAGTGATAGTCCAAGAACAGCGCCTGCATATGATCCTGTTTACAGGGAAATAGTGAAAAAGAAGGAGATACACACTACCTAATTAAAGTATCTTAGTAGAAAAGATGCTTCGTTATGCCTACTAAAAAACTACTCCATCTTCTCTGTGAGATGCACTTTGTTGGTATTCATGCCTTCGGGAACATTGTATATATACATAACATCAGCATGAACATAAATGTTTAATAACAGAAGGAAGCTGCACAGGTGGTATATCTAAATAGACTTCTCATAACTGTTCTCTTTGTAGCCACACAGTACAACTTGCAAAAAATAATTAGTAGTAAGTTCTATGCTTCGATGAAACTATTTTTCAGTATTCAAGATTTGGTGTGCAGGGATTCAATTAGTTTCAAGTCTGACGACGAATTGACTTCAGTTAGAGAACCATTTGAGACCAAGGTTGCTGGGTAGCTGTTTCATCCTTGTGAGGGACTCCTCAACTGCACGCCCCCTTGTCCCCACCAGCGATCAAATCCACGGCTTTCAGGTTACAAGGCGAGCTTGTTGAACATCTAGCCACTGGGATGGAATCCAACGAACCATCAATTCTAACTCCTGCCAATTCACGACCTACGGCACTAGTGCCAGCCAGTGTCATCAGTGAGTACCTGTTCTCACACCCATTAGACACGGCTTCCCAAAACAATTTATTATCATTATAACCTTTGGAATCCCCATCAAGTGACAAAAGCAATTCAGATTTATTTATTCACTGTGAAACCATCAGTAGGGATGAAGAATATTGAAATGTATAGATTTATCAGTTAGCTAGTCGCTTACCAGTAGATTCAGAAGCATATTTCTTAATTTATGTGATACAAGTAGATTTTGGGTATATTATTATGAATTTAAATATTACTGAGGAAACAAAGTAGAATTTGCTGAATTACTGCTGTTTCACCAATTGGTGTATTGGAAATCGTAGACAACACATGGACGTCGAGATTTAAAAAGAGATACACTTAGTCACCTGAATAGCATGGCGACATTACAATACAATGAAAGTAAAATTTTCCATGTATAAAGTGCTAATTTATTTGTCTGAATAACGGATAAAAGACTACAACTGTCGTCATCAAAGTAATCTGCAGAGGGAACTTGTAAATATTCAGAGACTGATAGGAAGTCAATGTCGAAAGCATTTTTAACTCTTGCTATAAGTTTTTAACAGAAAATGGAAGTAATTTTAAAAAACTTGTTTATATTAACTACGTTTTAGAGATAATTTGCCAGCTATTTATTAAATGTTATACAGGATAATGTCACTTGTATTTTTCTAGGATAGCCATTTTCTGTTGTTTATACTGTTAAAGTCAGCATCCATCTACTCAACTTGATGTCAGCCATACTCCTAAAATATTGTTGCGTAAGCGAATGCAGTTTGTACAGTACTTTAAGTTTAGATTTTGTGTCCGTTTGCACTTGTCAGCATGGTACTACTGCAGCACAGTAAAATTTAATCAATTTTTTAATTTTTTTAAAATTTTTGGTTACAGCTTGATGCCACACCGTATTTTTAGCACAAGTATGGAATTTTCAGCTTGGATATCGGTAGCCCAAATTTTGCAGGCCGAGCATAGATATCAGGTGTGCGTCGGCAGGGGATCGAACCTCGGACCATGTGCATGGTCGGCGAGAGCTCCTAACCACTAGGATATTCAGATCCGTGTCGTAACTGCTGCAGTTTTTGCACCTTAAGAATCTGTTTTTCAATTTGTTTACTTTGCAGTTGACTTGTACGAATAAAATTGAGGTGAAACGCAGCATATTTATGCAGTATACTTTGATTTTGTCAAATATTCATTTTGTCATCCAATAAACCTATTGTTACACACCAGTACACAAAATTAGGAACTCAGAAGTTTTCAACATTTATTCTAAAGACTACTTGTGGTGTCCTTGTGTGTTCTTCTACTCATATGTGAATAAAAAAGACGAGACTGTTTCCCTGTCTGCGTTTCCGAAATAACTCAACAATCGTGGGATATGAACAATTAAGTTAAGTCCTTCTTTTTATCGAACTTACACCACTTTTTCTTACAGTGTACATCATTTAATGTGCAGCATTATTCGACCGATCAGCATGACTGCATGGATAGCTTATAGCTCGGTGATTTATGAAATTTTATTTACTCGGAAGGTTGCATACTTACGAAAACTTGGTTTCACTGAAAAGCTTTACGAAGCCGCGAAGAGTGAAAACATACAAAAAGGGAGTGTTGTGAATTTGTTTATGAGGTATGTTCGAAATGTGGCATGATGAAGCGTTCATAAATGACTTACCACAAAATGCAATCGTCGCTAGTCGAGAACGTTCGAGTGGTGGAGCCCAGTATCTCCAAATTCCATGACAAGCTGGATAGGATGTTCCCTATTGTGTAATGAAACATAAAAATGGGTAAACAAATATGATGGATAAATGATAATGGAAAGAATAAATGTTAGTTTTTATAGTGGGATGGCACGTTTGTAGTATGGCTTGTGATCAGATCGTACATGATCGCTGTTTACGTTTGACCCAAATCTGTGAAACGACACGTCAAAATGGGACTCAACTTCTAAATATTTTTCCTGTTTACTGACTATCTGGTTACATGACTGTAACCACTTTCCCGAGTTGTCATATTTAGAGTCCATGACTCCCATCTAAAGTGGAGGAAAGGAAATAGTACTAAAAAATGATATGCGCAACAAAGACCGCAGCATTTTTTTGTAAAAAATTGACCTCGGAAAGTAGTGGCAGCACCGTTACAGTTGAACGAATCATTGAATGCCTTTGTTATCAATCTGGGTATATACAAAACCTGTATCTTAATAGCCTTGGAAATACGTTTTCACACACAATGTGAATTCGAGTTTCGTTTGGTCTCATTGAGAAACTATAAAGTATTTTCAAATGCACGTCTTCTCATGGACTAACATCAATCGCAGGGATCACTGAAAACCAGGGAGCACTGGACAGCTGTTTCGCTCCACAGTTAGGCTCTCTGAGAATGTACAGCGACGTCTCTATCAAGGATCGAAACCGAGACTTGCAGATAACCAGATCAAGTTCATTAGCCATTTAGCCACTTGGGGGGCAGAATTCATTGACTTTTGAATTTTAACTATCAACTGAGGCTGGTTCTTGACGAAACCTATAATGAAGTTAATCCAAATCCTTACAAAAAGCCATTAATAAAAATCTAAAGTATTTGATTTGATTTAATGAGCATTCAGTTGCAGAGTTGCCATCTTTACGCTCTTTTTAAGAAAATATGAATCCACTTGATGAAAAGTGACCTCATTTTCTGAAGATATGACCTATGATATAAGTAGAAATTAATGAATTCATCACCCTATGAAATAACATTATTGTTTCAAGAAGTGGTGTCCATCAGCTATTTGTCCTTAATTGTCTGACATTATTTTGTTAGACATTATAGTAGTCTGTATATTATAAAGGAACTTAATTTGTGAAATTATAGTACAAATAAATGATTCGTAAAACAGATATTATATTATTATTCCTTTGCGTTCCGAGTGGAACAAAGGGCTTCAATGACACATTTGTTTTCTGACGTCCTCTTCATTAGGGTCCACGACTGACCAAACTCGCTCATCTCTTCCTCACACGATCTACTCCATGTCACTCTAGGACGACCAACTCGTCTCTTTCCGCTTGGATTCGACTCGAGGGCCTGGCGTGCGATGTCATTCTGTGGCCTCCTCAATGTATGCCCTATCCATCTCCACTTTCTCCTACATACTCGTTGAGCAATAGGCTCTCGTTTGATTTGTTCCACGGAAGAGTTTCTTGTTGCTAATTCTTTCTGGCTGGCTGGCTATTTGGTCTTCAGTAAAGAGCAAAGACAGCTGTTGATGAAAGTCTACAACCTGTTGGAAATCCTTTTAGGGACACGCTAATCAAGCTTCTGACCCGTAGAGAAGAAGTAACTTCACATTAGTCTTGAAAATGTGAAAACAGAGTCGATCATTTAAACGATTTAAATGAAAATCAGGATGCCCAAGTTGAGATAGCTAAATGGTACTGAACAAGATTGCCCAGCTAAAAACGATCCCCACACTACTGCTGTAGATTAACGAGATATTCATTAAAAGAGTGAAACAAATAGAAAAAGTACTCATTACCCAAAAGTTATTCTGAGTTAATTATCCAGTTCGTCCCAGAAAATACATGTAGTGTGACGGAGATATCTTTGTGTTTATTTATAATTTTCATTTGGATAACAGTATCTTACTTTATTGAAGTAATTTTCAAGAAAAAGGGTTATTTATTGGAAACGTGTAATGCATTTGCGCAAAGCATTTCAACCGCCGTAGTCATACATGTACTTATACATATTTATATAAACGTTAAAAGAGATTAAGGGGTCAACACTGAGTCGATATAGCTCAGAATCTCTAGGGATCAAGATCAAAGATAAAAGGTATGCAACAAAAATGGAAGGAGTGAAAGTATTGATATATAAAATAAACCTTGTTTTTAAGATGGGATTGCCAGTCCAGTTGGTAACAGTAAAGAATTTTTAAATACACTTATAAATGAGTGAAGAATATTGTTATCGTTGACTTCTTTTTCAGGTCCTACAGTTGAGTATTGGGTGTCTTTAGTCAACTTTTAAACAACATAAGGCAGATTTAAGCCTTTTTGTTGTTACAGACTTCATGAAATTAAATTTATAACCGAAATATTGTTGTATATGTGGGTTTAAAGACACTAATGGAATAAATTTTACTATATTTTTCAAGTTTAATAACGCATTTATGAAAGTTAGAGAGCCATTGGAAAACCAGGGAGCACTGAGACCTTCCGGCTGCACATACCTACTGGGATCCCAGGCCAGGATCTTCCGGTTACAAGGGAATTTCGTAAACCATCCTGCCAATGGGACCTATTTCAATGGTTCGTGATTAGTGCTACCACTAACCAATGTCTTCGGCAACTGTTAATCCTCACGCCCGACCTGGTGGACTCTAGTTGTCAAGAGTCCTCATAAAAATTTCAAGTAACTTCTTTATGTAGCCAGTCATTGGTAAGCATCAGATTAACTTTCAAGAGTTAGTTATACTTTGCGATAGATGACGTATGACATTTATTCCCAGTGTTAGTTGAATTAAACTATTTTATTTGTTCCTGAAGTCACCTAGGAATGTGTTCTGTAATTATAACATACAGAGGTCAACAGGTCACTGTTATGTGCCCATGACCACAAATACGTGAGATGTGACGTTATCGGTCAGATACTAACAGGGTTCTCTTTAGAGTGTGGCTATGATTCTTTGTTCATTAATCAGACTCCGGCATTTACCTCTAAACTATAAAGATATAAACACACTTTTTGGCAGTCGATTGAATCGGTGGAGCTAATTGTGCGGGGGGGGGGGAGGAATACATTTGTCATCAGCATGCCCAAAATGTGTTGCAAGAATACGCCACATCTTTCAGGTTAATTAATTATTCTTCTTTATTGTCAGAATTCATAAAACGAATTCATCACTTTAATATCTAGATGAGGGTTATTCATGAATTAAGACAAGGTGTCTAAAGTTCGTCATTTTTAAACAGTTTATAACAAATACCTTGATATGCATCGTTATTTTACGCATCTCTATAGTAGATTGATTTGCAGTGCTATAAGAATACGCTTAAAGCCAACTCACTGAATACCGATCAATGTGATTATCCAGTGAGTTTGAAAAAAAACTTGAAAGTTCTAATCAAATTAATTACAACTGAATTATAATAAAGTTAGAAATATGTTAATATGGTTGTGTTAAATTTGATATTTAGTGAAGCGTTAATAACATTACATGTTACATGGGATATCGATCATTCACTAGCTAAAACATAATGTACTTTATAGAGGAGGTAGGAGGTATTACTGGTTTTCTCAAAGCTAACTGACGTAGACTGTCATTTTTTTTCCTATTCATACAAGACTGATACAAATATCCCATTTTGTCTAGTCAGTCTGGCAGACAGAAATATTAATCAAATTAATGTATGCAAAACTTAGACAGTGGGCAGGAATATATACATATATAATGTGGTTGGTTTATTATCCTCATTTGACAGACTGATATTAATGTAGAACCCATTAGTAGTTTTTGAACCGAAAATTCCACGTGGCATTAAAAGAGTCAGACTAATAGTGATCAGATGAAGCATTATAATATCAATACAAAATATAAATACGTTTGTGTATACATCTCCATCGTTAAGGATGCCAAAAGTCAACTGCTACAGGCTGACTTTCACTAAACACTCATCTTAATATATATATATATATATATAGCATGACCACAAGCCAACATCATAGATGAGTTAGTGTCTTCTTGTATGACTTGATGGACTCCACTGGTCACAAGTTCTCACTAGAATGATGTCAGCTAGTGATCAGAACCTGTAACCAATCAAATCCCTGGTCATTTACTTAGTCCTCAGTGGTCCAGGGCACTTTACAGATTTTCTCTGACCATCTAACAACGGTTCAAAGTGCATCGTGATGATTATTCTTCCAGCTTGATGGCCACATTGCAAAATAAACTAACATTTGACACCTTTTAAACTTCAGCAGCTAATCCATTCAGAATTGCCTTACTTTGGAACTCTGAATAAGTTGGATCCAGAAGCTTTTAAGTTTACTTGAAATATGAAAACTGCTTATACGTTAGTGGTTCAGTGGCAGGACACTCACCAACAACACAAGTGGTCCGGGGTTTGATTCTCAGTCGAAGGAATTCTAAACCCCGCTAAGCCGGTGAAGATGTTATGTTGGGCATGAGGCTAGCAACACCACCCCTTGAAAACTTCAGAGCACTATCTTGAAGCCCTATCTTCCACCCGGAAGGTAAAAGAATAAAACAAAATAATAAATTATACCAGCTTGTATACAAGTTACTCTCGCTATGTTTGTTTCAAAACTAGTTCACTGATCAATCAGTTACCATGGTATGGTCCTAGAAGAAGATGATTACATTGTCAGCTCCCTTTTTAGCAAATCTTTTGCAAAAATGTTACTCAGATTCTTAAGCGATGTCTGCAAATTGCATAATTTGAAGATAAAAAAGATTAATACTTCTAATCCCATGTAACGATCTCCTTTACCTTGAATCTTGTTGAGTAAAGGAAAGAGGAAACATTTTGTACTTGTATATTTACTTATTTATACTTTATTCCTTCGCGTTCCTAGAGGAACATAGGGCTTCGAACTTGAGCTTTGAAGTTTCCGTAGCAATGGTAATTTTTATTGGGTAAGGTTGCTGATTTTATTCCTAACCCTCTGTCTTCACCAGATTTACTACTGGCTGAGCAAGGTTTAGATGTGCGTCGGCCGGAAATCAAACTCCAGATCACTTGCTTTGTCGGCAAGCATTCAGTTGCTGAATCACTGATCATTTTATCCTATGGTCGTCAGTTTCCATGGATTCAAATGAATTTCTAAAGTTTTTGAATCAGAACGCTGTTTTATTCCTTTTAGATTTTCATGATTACAAGATTTGAGGGGACAGCACCACTCAGAACTCTGACATTCAAATGATGCGGTCATAGAGGGACAGAGTGTTCTTCTGTCCTTTATTGTTATTATTCTTTTTATTCAACGCTCTCCTTCTTCCTGAGATGAAGACTTTCTTTAAATTTAGCTTAAACGATTCAGATGTTTAAGTAAAAGAATAACTTATAAACGTATAGACAAAAAAATGTACACTATACAGAGGTAATTCAATGCATGGTATCTTACCTCAACTAAACCTTGTAGCATTCTTATTATCATAACAATACCAAAGTGGATTTTACACGCACCCGGCAGTAACAAATTTAGAACAGCACTTCCACCGACAGCAATACCAAAAAGTCGATTAGCTGGAAATTTAGATGCTATCACTCCACCAGGTATTTGAGTTATTAAATAACCATAAAAGAATGAACTGTCTACAAATCCTCTTTGACCAGCTGTCCAATAGAAATCTGGTTTCTAAAATAAGTGTAAAATAGGCAGCAAAATTTATTTTTTATAATTAGTATACAATTGAGAAGACTAATTATAATAACAATTATGACATCTATTGACCAAGAGCTTGTCATAAATTTAAGTTTGAAATTTTGAATAATACAGTATGATACCTTTTTTTGATTACAGCTTGATGCCACACCGTATTTTCAGTACAAGTATGACATTTTCAGCATGGATATCGATAGTCCAAATTTTGCAGGCCGACCATAGATGTCAGCTGTGCGTCGGCAGGGGATCGAACCCCGGACCATGTGCATGGTCAGCGAGAGTCCTAACCACTGTACCACCGACGCACTTAAAGGGATGATCCGAAGACCTCCCCACTAGCAAAAACTACGCGTCCGAGCGACCCCAATTAGGGATCGTCGCAGGCTTCAACACGCCGAAGTGCAAAGGCGAGTCTCCACCTAGGGCAAGGGCATTCGTGATCACCCTGGTCCTGGCGCCAAGTAAGTTTCCTTAAATATATCTTAATATTTCATATATATACTTAATGATATCAACTCACAAACACTGTAGATCGTTAATCTACTTTAACCTAGAGAATCACTGCAGTAATATCTTTTATAACAAGCTCCTGAATATATCTGGTCTATGGTAAATGGGGAACTGAGTTAGTTCCACAAATTATTAAATCTATTATTTAAGGTACAATGCTTTTAACAACAACTTTTTATCCTTCTTTATTGAGCCAGCTTCTGTGTTCTCTGAGCTGAATGGTTTAATTGTGAACCATTCCATGTCCTTCAAAACAGCATACTTCACTGTTACCACCCTATACTACTTTAATCTTGGTAAAATTTTTGTTTATTACCGAGATGACTGCAAAAACTAAAATTTTTCTCAAACTTTAATAATATGTCGCTTTTCTGAGTCTCTGCACCAAGAGAATTCAGTTGATTTGAACAAATTTCAGAAGCACTTTTGAGTGGATGAACTAATTTCACAACTAAGCTGCATATTCTCGAGGCTGTGGAAAATTTAAGCAGCCAAATACATTTTTTATTTTGACTCACACAATTGCGAAACCGGATTAGTCAAGTCAGATGAGAAGCATAAAAGGAATTACTCAACGGCTAACTTGAAAATATTTTCTTGTAAATCTTATCTTACATCACAATGACTTAACCCACAGTGCTTTCCTTTTATTCATTATTTCCCTACACTAAGCCATTATTCTTATAATAGAGCAGATTTAAAAATCCAAAACTGATGTAATGAAAGTTACTTCTTAAAAGCATACAAGGAAATCTGAAGAAACTTATATATGTAGACCTGTCAGATAAGCATATCCATTTTAATTTAAATCTCTTCTAAACTTTAATCATGTTTCTTTGTGCTTTGGTGGAAGTATTCGTGCTATACAACGAGCTAGTTGATATGAGAAAACATAGTAGCAGAATAGAAGATCAGAAAATCACTCCTTAAAAATCTATTCACGGTATTGATGCCTGTTGGAATATTTCACCTAACTGTACAAGTATTACTCCTTTTACCCTTGACCTGTGTATCAGTCTTCCAGTGTGTAAATATTTTCTTTTGGTTTAATCCTTATCGGTCTTTTTCTGTGGTTGATTCTTGTTCTTAATATTTCACCTTACCATTGGGTGATAGTGGACTGCTGAAGATAACGTATTGTTTTACGGCTACGATTTCCTTTGAATTAATTTAAAGTTATCACAATGGGGTTTTCTGATCTTGAAAGGTCCGCGGGGAACGTGCTTGGGTGTTTGATTCATGCAGACAAAGTTTTCATCCCACATTGTAGGCATTTCCTACGGTTGTTTTCTGATGAACCACCTTTGTTGTGGAGCACTTCTTTTGTATGTGCGAAACTTTTGGGGTTTATAGCTGCCAAACAGAATCATAGAGGTAATTTAGCGTTTTCGATATGTTATTACTGTTTAATAGTACCACAGATTTTATCTCAGTTAACTGTCTTTTTGCTAGTGTTGAGATATTATGACACTGTGAGTCACTCACAGAAGTGTGATCAGCAACAGGGAAGAGCATACTGACTGGGTGCCTATGTTAAGACCAGGATATTTAGGGTTTAGGTCGTTTCAAGGGATTTGTCAGGAATAATGCCTATGACTACTTCCAGCTTAAAGAGAAAAAGCTATCTGGTATTTTTTCAGAGTTTCAACTACTTCTCAAGAAGATAGAAATCCATAGTAACAATTAGTTTAAAACCATTTCAGAGTGATAAATTACACTCTCTAAATGAACAAGAGTGGAATTTTCCCGGAAGCATAAATAAGTTTTTTTCTTTCATTGAAGTAAAACAGCATTAGTCGGCATCTTTGAAAAAATGTATAAATTATTTCTGGTTTCTTATCTCAATATGTCTATTTTCTTTTAAAGTTAAAACTAGGTAACTTTTCTCTTCCTGTTCTGCAAGAATAACTTATTGAATACATTTTGGTTTCCAAGTTTGATTTTTATTCTTGAGAGACATGTTCCTGTTTTGTATTTTGTAAAAATATGTGTATTATTTTGAGGAACTCTTAATTTTCTACTAATTATTCACTGAAAACGCTATGGGAGTATCTACGTTGCTTGGTCTAACGCGAAAATTAATCCTCACAACTCCACAGTAAACGTTTTTTATTCCTTTGTTTCCCGAGTGGAACATAGGGTTTCAATATCTGAAGTATTAGCAGCAATGGAGTACCTTTTGTGAAGTGGAGCTGTTAGCCTCTCCTCCAACTTTATCTTTTTACTTTAGTTAACACCGGCTAAGTGAGATTTAGGAATGCGTCGGGTGGGAATTGAACCCGGATCACGTACGTGGTTGGCAAGCATTTTATCAGCGGGCCACCAGCACACATGACAAAAGCGGCTTTCATATATCTTTGTAAGTAACTAGTAATTCAGAACCACTTTTATCAGTTGGTGTGGTGTTAATCTGCTCAGTGAAGAAACAAGGGCACTGATTCAGATGTCTCACATTTTATTTCACAGTTAGGTTTACAGTAACAAACTTTATGGCATTTTTAAGTTATTCTCGAATAACAGTTAAATACATGCTTCAAACCGACTGGTGTGAGATAAATTGGACCTCGTTATATATATATATATCATTGATCTCCGCTTCCCGGTGATATATACCGCTGTCTCTTGCAGATGAGCCAAATCTAAACAATGAGAGACGGTATATAAATCCTTGGGTTTTAATTTCCCGCATGTTGGTGACTACAACTGATGTGTACCCATAGCTCAGAAGTTTTTTTTAAAAAGAATAAATCTTCCAAGACCACTGTCTCACGTACAATATGCTGATGTCCATTAATTTCGCTGTCGAATAGAAACCTCTATTTCTATGCTTTTTGAACGGTGCTTCGCAAGGTGCTGATCTTTCTCCTCTCATGTTTCCTTTCTTCTTACTTGACTTACTCCATTCTGGCGAAGCCAGTTTTAAGTATGCCGATTATGTGATTGTTTCCATGCTGGTTACTTTGCAGTCAGATTGTTCCAAAATAAATAACTTTTTATCAAAAGTTAGTCAGTGGTCTTCGTCAAATGGTCTTAAGCTAAATCCCACCAAATGTCAGTTTGTTTATTTCCATTTCAGGTGCAAGCGCAACTTACATCAGCTGGTTAGTTAACATGACTCTATTGTCATAGATGATAACGAAGTTAGAACTTAGTCGAACGCTGAATACCTTGGATTGTGCTTTTACTGTGATTTTTCGTGGTCTTCTCACATCATGTTAGTTTCTAGAAAGATATTTTGTTTAACATTCTCCTTAACGAAGTTAAGACAATGTGGTATTACTCAGTCCCTACTTTATTAATTTGTTAATTCTTGTATTCTGCCTAGTCTTCTCTAAAACTTCCCCCTAATCTTTCTTGAGCTAATTAAGAAAGAATTTTTCACACTGAGAAGGATACCAAAAGCAATCATCAGGTCTAGTGGGGTTGTCGCTAAACCAACTCGTTAGTACTGTTGTAGATAGATACATGGACTAATGCAAGAAATAAATGAATATCGTCTTGTCGGACCTTCAGCATAGTCTCTATACACACACACACAAATATCTCCTTGCATTTCATCACGAAGGACGAGAGGCAAATACAGAGGACCTTATGCTTGGACGACTAAGTATAAAACTCTACAATACCTTGTGTAGGAAATCACACTACTAACTTACTAAGAAACCCCAAGTAAACTTCCCTTTTTATTCTTTCCTTCATTATTATATTGTTTTTAATATTTTCACTCATATTTTAATTTTATATCCATATTTCATATATTTGGTTCCCTTGATAAATTTCGATAGAGAAGGAAAGACCAGATTTGCAGTACAAAATGATATCATCATTCTATTTCACAGGTTCTCCTCATCAGCTAACTGCAAACTACCTGAAAATACAATGGTTATAGATGGTGATAACATTTCATACTTCAATATTTGAAAGGTAATAGAGAAAACATAATAAGATGAACGTATCCGGAATATAAGCATTACAATTTTTAGTTTAGGTCACCATCAATTTATGTGCTTTCAAACTATGATAAAAGGAGGGGGAGGGTTGAGAGAAGACAGAAAACCGAAAAATCTAATAAACAGTGTTAGCAAGTTTTCAATTTGATGAACTTTAACCTTTTTGAGTTGCCATGTTGATGCATAAGGTAAAACTGTTTATTAGACTTTTCTGTCTTCTTTCAATCCTACCCTCCTTTTTTTCATAGTTTGAAAGCACATAAATTAATGGTGACTTAAACTAAAAATTGTAATGCTTATATTTCGGATGCGTTAATTTGATAATGTTTTCTCTATTACCTTTCAAACATTGAAGTATGAAATGTTATCACAATTTATAACCATTGTAATTTCAGGTAGTTTGCAATTAGCTGAAGAGGAGAACCTGTGAAATAGAATGATGATATCATTTTGTACTGCAAAATCTGGTCTTTCTTCCTCTATCGAAATATATCCATATTCTTGTTCGACAATATCGTAAGTAAAAATGCCCTATTTAATTATGTCTACCTGTAGTATGTGAAGAGAAAATTAGGTGAAGTATATTGTATTGTATGCTGAAAACGCTATATTTATATCAAAAGTACTGCTTAGAATAAAACTGTTATTATTATTATTTGCGTAGATGGCAAATTTTATCAGAATGAAACAATTGATGCTCAATGAACTGAGCCTTAATGACTATTTATATTATTATTATATTATTATTGTTCCCTTGGGTTCCTAGTGGAACATAGGGTTTCAACTGCACGTCTCCACTTGCTTCTGTCTTCTGCTGTGCTTTTCACTTGCATTCATGCTATTCCATACTGTTTCAACTCCTCTTCACATGATCTCCTCCATGTCACCCTTAGACGCCCCACTCGTCGCTTCCCTCTCGGGTTCCACTAGAGCTATGGCCTGACGCGCGATGTCACCCAGCGGCCTCCTCAGCGAGTGTCCAATCCATCTCCACATTCTCCTGCATATTTGTTGAGCGATTGGTTCTTGTTTTGTTTGTTCCCATAGTTTCTTGTTGGTGATTCTTTCCGGCCATCTGATCTTCAGTATAGAACGAAGACAGCTGTTAATAAAGGTTTGCAACCTGTTGGAAATATTCTTTGTGACACGCCAAGTTTCTGATCCATTCGTATAGAAGAACTGACTTCACGTTTGTATTGAAAATCCAAATTTTGTTGTTGATGCAGGCTGAGTGACGAAGATTTCCAGATTGGTTTCAGGTTGATGAATGTGTTTCTCGCCTTCCTGATTCTCGATATGACATCCTCGTCGGTTCCTCCTGTAGTTGAGACAATGTTCCCTAGATACGTGAATGAAGTAACCTCTTTCAAATCCCTCCCGTTGATGGTGATTGGCACTGGATATTGCTGCTGTTGTTGTTGGTTGGTTATTTTCATAACCTCCGTCTTGTCTATGTTCACCTGGAGTCCTGTCTTTGCTGCTTCTCCGACCAGTTTGTCGGTCTATTTAGCTGAATATAATAATGACGATCAAATTCAAAACAGGAAAGAGTAGTGTTCTTGTGAATAAATCTCAGTGATATAATTGTTGTAGAGTGCATAGTCTCTGTTATTAGGACTCTAAAACTATAGGTTTAAACCTAAAAATCATAATTTAACATTTGGTCACCAGTACCTGAAAGATGAGTATTCATTTACTATGTAATACTAATACATCAAAATCAACCTACCGATGTAACATTCATTAATCCGCCCAAACCGACCACATGGTCTCCAGACTCATGATGTGTATGTTCATAATGTTTATGAGGCGGTAGATGAGATAAATTCGCTGCCATCTGTCTAGCTTGCATTGTCAACATAGCCCAACTCATATTACACCGGATACCAAATGTAATCATAAAGCCTAAACTTGATAGCCATGCTATGTAATAACGCTTGGAACAACGGCAACATAAATAATATAGACATTTGCCTTGACATGTATTATCATTATATGCAGCAGTACCACTGGTCTCATCGGTATTCATTTGTCCATAAGTTGAGTTAACCTCAGACTTCATAACTCCAGTATTCTTCAGGAAACTAAATGAAAACAAAATAACAATTAGAATCATAAATTTCATGTTTAAGAAAAATACATTTTTATGATTATAAATAATCAACTTGTTTGTAAAAATTAATTTCAAAACGTTTATAAACTACACGTTTCCCACTCAACATTTCGAAACTACTGACGGTTGTCTCTTGAAGACGAACAATGCACAATGAATGTCATGCACATCACTTTTCGTATTTATTAAGACCTAACCAACGCTTTTTCTTAGACAAGATTCATTAATTACTCATAGATCCTCTTTAAAACTGAAAGTATGGTCTAAAACCAAACTCTCCAACCCCCAACAGCCCCTCTATTCCCAACTCTCGCCTAGTATCTCATCAGGTAGAACCAGAAATCAGTATAAAATAATCTATGCTCGTACAACCAAGTACAGGAACTCAACGATACCATACCTGGCCCGTGTTCTAAGCGACAGAGACAATGTTAAGCGCGAAACCTATGACTTGCTTTGTTGTTAATAACATAATTTTAGGCTCTTTTATTTCTCTCTTATTTTGTATTCTATAGTGAGTACCTTATTAAACATACTTAGCTACCTAAATTATTAACATGGGCTTACTTTTTGTACTTTTCTGTATTCCTTCCATTGTGTATCTACTGGTTCCGACTCTATTAGCATTATGAGTATTACAAAATTGTCCTGTCATTAACCATCATGTAATTATTAGTTTTGTGGTTGTTTTTTATTATTTTTTATTATTTTCGGCAATATCAACTGACAATCATTGGTTGTGAACGATATTATCACCACCTTAAAATTGTGTATTATGCAGGATTACTCACACTACCACTACAAACACTGCATTAGACCTGACAATAAAAAACAAAACAACAACCCTGAAATGTTATTTTATGAGTTGTTTCAACCAAATTAACTGATCATCTTGGCAATAAACATTCTTAAATATCATTTCATAACTTCTTGTATGACTATACCTTTACTGTCACCATGCATAATCATATCATAGCTTCCACTACCCAATACTGAGTTATTATTAAATGCTGTTTATTTTCCTTTCTATTTATTGGTACTTCTTCGCATTTTTTAATTATTTTTGTGTTTTTTTGCTGTTGTTGTCTTTATATTTATTTTTTTGAAATACTCATTTTAAATGTTTGATAAAATTAGATGCAAATATTGCAGATATGTACTGAAAATTCCACACTGTACCACTAGTACTGTTTCTGGAATAAAGCAAAATGTTATTATTATTAAATAATTTGCTTGAACATATTTCACAAAGTCGGCATAGGCCTTCAATAGTAAGACCTATACCGTTCCAGAAGCTAAAAGGCGTTACGAAAAGAATATACAGATATGTTATCAAAATCATTTTGGTTGGTTTACTAACCTAAAGTACTCTATGTAGGGGGACTTAAACCTGTAGAAGCTACCCAACTTATCTACTTAAAAGCTGTAATTTAGTCATTCTCAGGAGTCTGAGGTGTACCAGAATAGCTGATAAGAAAACTCCTCTATGACCAATGGATTTACAATATATTGGTACTGATTTGAGTATTTTAACTAAATTTGTAATTACTCCCCTTTTACCTTAACCACTATATCATTTTTTGAATCTTTGCAGATCTTCTTTTAACTTAATCCTTATTATTTGTCTTTGGTTTTAATTGGTCTCTATGTTTAACACTTCACCTTGCTGTCGTATAAAGATGTTAATAGACATGTGTTGTTTTTTAATTGCGATTGTGTTTGAATGAATTCAAGATAATGCCGTACGGTGATCCCTTGACCCTGTTTGTCAACCTGGTTCTCACCTTCATGAGAATATTAATGCTGATCGTGAGTTGTCATAATGTTGTGGTGTAATATGCTATTTGTACTTGGGAAATTCTAGGATTGTATAGCAGCCTGACAGCATTATTGAGGTAGTTTTGTATTCTTGGTGTAATTTACTGTTGTTCAGTTGTACCCTACATTCTATCACATCAAATAATCTTTTGATTTTTGGGACATAATTCCTGATTGTGAGCCACTCGCGGAAGATGGGAAAACTGTATAGAGGTACGTATCGATTGGTTTCCTGCTTTCAGAGCAAAATACTTGGGTTTTCGCAGATGATAAAATTTGCACCCATCAGTTGATCTTTGTTCGCGAAAGAATTATTAGATAAATATTAGGAGTGATTTACAGAATCCTGAACGACAACCAGGAGTGAATGTATCTGCGACACTATCAACACTTTTGGTCCATGTAACAAAGAGTCTCTATCTATTGTTTCTGAGAGTATTCAGGACCACAGTGAGGAAGTCTTCACTTCTTCCAGGTGGCGCAAACAAACAACTAAAAATTTATGGATTAGTGTCATATTTTATCATACTCACTTCTAACAAATGAGGTTGTTTGTTTGGAATTTATAATATATTTCAGTCATTTCAGTCGATAGAACTTGATAGAACAGAGATAGAACAAACAAATCCACAAACTCGAAGGTCTTTTCAAATACAGGTGTCACGAATGTAGATGTCAAAGCCAGTCTGGATTAGAAAAGTACAACTGACATCTTTTACTGTAATCTTTGTGGAAATCTTCTACACTCAGTATAAGCAGCGAGATCCCAATTTTTAACACTAATATGGAGTCAGTGCCTCTATGTATTTCAAAGACGATAGTCATTTCCAACAGGATACCACAGAATTTCGTCAGCAGCCAGCATCGGTAAGTCCATACTGAAGATAAGATTGTCGACAGGGAAGAATAACCAACAAGGAGCTCTGGCAACATACCAACCAAGGAACTGTCACCCAAAAAAAGCAGAAATAGGTGGAGATGGACTGCACATATTACGTAACAGGTCCTAGAGTGGAAGCCGAGTGGGAAATCGTGTAACGGGGGGGGATAAGAGATTACGGGCAAATATGGAGCTAACTAAAACAGACTACAGAGGATAGAGTATAATAGGGATGGGACGTGTTGTTGCAGCTCCACGTTCCACTCGGAATCCCAGGGAACAGTAAGCCTATTAATAATATCAATAATAGTATTAATAGCTTAATATCTCAATGAAACTTCATTGAGGAGGCCTTTTCTATTAGGTGCCATTGTGGTGCATTGGCCTCAGTCAACATCATCAGCCAATGAATGAGTGGCTGTTAGATTTTAAGCACCTATAAGACAAAAGCCAAAATATTTGGTTTACGTTTGAATACACTCAGTGTTCTATGCTGTTCTTGGCAAAGAATGTTAAAACTAAAATAATAACTATAACATTTTTCTGACAGTCAGCAAGCATATACTACTGAAAATCGATAATATTGATTAAAATATGTTTTAAACTTATCCTCAAATAGTTGTATGTTTATTTCTTTATACAGATTTAGTACAATAATATGACACACAGTTAAGTATATCTCTATAATCTATGTTGTAAAATTCAAGTGCCGGAAATTGTACTCACCTTTCCTTTTTCATTAAAAGAAAGACTCTGCTTTTAACTATTCTATTCTATTATTTTTTTTAATGTTCATAATAATTTTATTGTTGTTTTTTAATGTACACGAAATGACAGGAAGTCAGTTTTCTATAGTAGGAGAATTAGAAGAGACAGAAAGAGAGAAAGAGAGAGAGAAAAGTTCACTTCCTTCCTGAACTGGTTTGATTTTATCTCACTCACTACTATATCACCTACATTATTCATTTCCTTACTGACTCATTAAACTCTACTTAGCACTCGCCTTACTTACTTACTCACTTACACTACCTTTTCATTCACTTACCTCCTTTCATCATCAGTTTAATGCATACTTAATGGGGTTATGAATAGGTATCAAGTATCGGATGGATAGAAGTATGTTTCAATATTACTGAGCTCTTTGTCTGCCTGATTCTGTTTAATGCTATATGAAATATTCCAGTTATATATATATATATATACGCCAATTGAATCAATATTTTGTATACTTCAATAGCAATAATCAAGTATAAACCTTTTATGAAACAAAACGTTTCTATTTCCTTTTAGTCCGACCGCGTTATCCTACAGAAAGCGGTTACCTAACAAACAATAGATAAAATTACTCACCTACTCACTCACATGCACACAAAGACATATAATGATGCAAAAATTGAGGAAGTTATACAACAAGAAGCATGTTTATGTAATGGAAATGATCAATACGCGTCTATAAAGGCGTCTAGTTTATCCTTGATATTTATTCCTCAGTCAGAAAGAGATATTGATGAGTAAGAATTCTCTTTGTTCGGCGATTACCCTCAAGGAGTTGATCAGAATATATGTTATTCATGATATATTTTGTATTTTTTAAATTCATTTTTAGGTTTTCCCGTCATTTGATTGGACCGAAGTGCTCGGTCTCAGGTTGACATGTCGGTTTCTTGTGCAGATGCTTCGACGATGTCTGGGCATGGTGACTAGCAGTGGAATCCAGGATGCTCATTTCGTCCTATTTGGGACTCGTCATCCGTATATACATGCATTTGGCAGTGAGTGATGATGTTCAACCTGAGACTGAGCACCTCGGTCGAATCAATCAATGGGAAAATCTAAAATTGAGCTAAATAATTAATATGACCCGTTGCTCAAGAGACAGTGGCTCTCGTGGACCAAGTGGTCTGGTGGATAACGCTTTGGCGTTTGAAACTATGGAAACTGGGTTCTAGCCACGTTGAGAACATCATCACTGACTGGGGAATGCAGGTACATCCAGATGACGAGTCCCAAATAGAACGAAACGCGCATCCTGGATTCCACTGCTAGTCACCATCCACCAATTAACTTCTATTTTTATTTACAATAAGATCTATAATAGATTTTCATCTGTGGTCACAGTATCTACCCCACGGATTGATGTTAAATGGAACAGTTCTATGAAATACTGTGCTGTAGAGTTATGATCACCATAGGAGTATTAGACTTCTTAATTTGTATGCAGTGCTAGTGTGAATAATGGTCTATGTGAAAATGAAAGGTTTTAAAATGTACCA